TTTTGGGATGATGTGAGATGATAAAATGCCTTTATAATGAGTTGAGGTGAATGTTATAGGCTACTATTGACCTTGAACACAAGCACTGGGATACCTCAAGAGTCAACTTGATAACACAAACAACTACTAATGGATGGGTAGCATATATGTTTAGATACACAGGATAAAGGGATGATTCACATCCTGTGAGAAAATGCAAGATTCATCACACTACTCAGAATGGCACACAATTTAAATCTTATGAATTATTTACTTCTAGAATTTTTCACTTAATATTTTCAGACCATCGTTTATCGTGGATAACTGTAACCATGGAAAATGAAATCCTGACTAAAGGAGGAGTACTGTACTTGGTTTCTTAGTTCAAGAATGTTTTCTATTATGGGAATTGTGAAGAGCAGTTTGTTTAATAAATGATGTCTTTTGGGATGTTGGTTGATTTTCTTTTTACTAAGTAATAACCATAAAAGAAATACATGAAAATATAGATAAGCCCACTCTATTTCTATTACTTTTGTATTTAAAAAATTTAGGGAATACAAATTGAATTTCATTACATGTATATATTATATAGTGGTGGAGTCTGGGCTTTGGGCGTAGCCATCACCCAAGTAGTGTACGTTGCACCCCATAGATAATTTTCACCTCACACCCTCTCCCTCCCCCCTTTTATGGCTCCATTGTCCATTATATTAATACCACTCTGTGTGCCCTTGTGTAGCCATAGTTTAGGTCCTACTTATAAGTGAGAACATGCAGCATTTATTTTTCTGTTCCTGGGTTACTTTCACTTAAGATAATGGCCTCCAGGATCATTCAAGTAGCTGCCAAAGCCATTCTTTCATTCTTTCTTATCGCTTAGTACTACTCCATGGGGTGTGTGGGTCTGTGTGTGTGTATGTGTGCCACATTTTCTTAATTCACTCATCAATTAATGGGCACTTAGGTTGATTTTCTCTTCTTTGATACTAATTTGTTTCTTGAGGTTTTTAACTTCATTTGCTTCTTTCTTTTCACCATTTCCCCATTTTATAGATGAGGATGCTGAGGCTAAGAGGTTAATAACAACTCACATAGCTAGTTAATGATGAGTGAAATCCAAACCTAAGATTGTAAGAGTCCAAATCTACTGCCTCTCCATCAAAATGATCATATCTTTTTTTCATTTCATTCAGTAGTCCCTCAACATTCATTGAGTTCTTGAATTCTTTAGAAGGTACTGAGCTATATACCAGGGACTGGTGATACAGCAGTGAACAAAATAGACCAAAAAAAATCCTGGTACTCGTGGAGCTTACATTTTAGCAGTGATATCATCCATCCGCAAACCCACAGCCTGCCCCAGTCAATTCATCTCTTCTTAACCTCTGAAATTTTTTATTTGGCTTTTTAAAAATAATAGTAGTCAGAATCATTTATAGGACTTAATTATGTTTGTCATTGAATATAATTGTGATTTTTAATAGTGCCAAAATAACTCTAAGAGTTTTACATAATTATTGTACTAGTTTCTTATACTCCAGTTTCCTACTTTATTGCTTAGATACTATAACTTAAAAAAAGAAACAGTATAGATTGGAAGTGAAAATTATGTACTCTTAGTAGTTCTGTAATAAAACATGTACTTAAAGACTTACTGATTTTATTTTTTGTACTTTATATGATTTGGTGTCTGTTGAAAAGAGTCTGTTATGTCACGTTTGGAGTAGAAAGCTCATCTTCCCAATTTAAGATACTTATGAAGCCGTTAATTTTATACTACATAGTTTTAGGATAGGTTAAAATTCCATGCTAGGCATTTGAGTGTTTTAGTTTTCGCTTATTTACATAAGAGGTAAAGGATTTTATAACCTTTCAGATAGAATCCCATTTAGAATTCTTTTAGTACTTCATTAAGAAAATGTAAAATACATTCATCATTGTGCTATTTCTTATTGTAACTTGTTAATTTTGGCAAAGAAATGCTATTTTAAATTCCCATTTGAAGTAATATAAAATGGGATAATCTGTATTTACTTAGTCAATTTTAATATAGATTTTTTAGCAACAAAGTGGCAGATTGGCACCCTCTGTTGGTCATTTTATTTACCTACAGACAGAAATATAAGTAATAAAACAAAATTAAAAGCTTATCTTTTATATGTTTATATCTGTCTTTTGAATTAACATTTAAAAGACCAAAATAATGCTCTAAACTGGGTTCATATGAATAAGTACACTATCATTTAGCGGCGCTTTGTTTCAGTAATTTTGTGGTTGTTTGGTTTTTCCTCAGGCTGGCTCTCTAATTCTAGCATTCAGAATTGGCATTAACATTGCAGATTTTCAAACAAATATTTATTTAACTGTAGCAAACTATTAGCTACAGTAGCACATTATTAGATAATGTTTATCAATTTTTTGTTAATTTGGATTAGTTAGAAAAACATCACATTTTAGTACCCTAAATAACAGTTTGGGGACTTATTTGAATGGAAGATAATTCAAGCTTCAGAAAAGGCTGTATTACTTTAGTTCTCATTTTTTTTAAGATAGTTACTCTGTAAAATTATATAGT